TGTCACCAGAATGGCTTCTTTTTTTTTGTTTACTCTTTCTTCCACCCTACTTCTTGGCTTTGAACTTGGTGTTAGTACTGGGCTTTGTCCAGTTTGGGTAGAGATGTCTGGCCTGAGCTTCTATCCAACTACATCCTTCTCTTGCTTTCACATCTCTGGCTGGAGGCCTACAAGCTTTCAGTGCTCCCAGAGTATTGTGGTCCAGGAAAAGGTCTGTTCATTGCCCCTCTGGTCTGGGTTCTGCAAGTTCCTTACCAGGGTTTTGGTTTGTTGGCTTGTGCATGGTTGAGTTTTAGTAGATAGCTGCTGGATTCAGTCACTGCTGTAAGGCTCTGCAGGTTTGGAGTGACTGAATTACTGGTCCCCTTTGGTCTGGGATTCTTGCCCCGATTATTCCACAGCAGGCCTATGTGTGAAGTTAAAGGCTAAAATTTAGAACTGAGTTGCCGCTCTACTCCTGGCCACACATGTAGCCACACGGCTACATTTCTGGCTCTTGTTACTTGCTCAGTACACACGTTGGGTGGGCCCATACTCTCTGTTGACCACTCCTCCATAATCCAGACCTAGCCAGTGGGCCCTGTAGCTTCCAGATGACACCTTTTCCTGCACCCAGCACTAGTTCAAAGATCCTCTGGGATACCCTTCTGATCAGATGCCTGTTTTCCTGATGTTCTATCTCTGCCCTCTTTTATACCTAGGCACTGAATATTTCCTGCTGTTGCTGCCCATGTTCCTGGCCAGGTCCCTGTTCCCCATGACCATATGCTGTCTACCTTAGCTTCCCTGGCCTGAAAAAATGACTCGCTGACTTTTTCTTGGTTTTCTCATTTAGCTTCCATCTAGTACATTTTCTGAATTTTTGTGGGGGAGGTGTGCTAGGCAAGCTAGGCAGAAAAGCTTTGTCTTGTTCTACCATTTTGTGGCTCTACCTCACTGCAATTCAGTTCACCAAGGCACTAGGATTTATTTACTAGTGAGCTACCTGAGACTCACAGGAGTGGAGCAGAAAGTCTAAACAGCAACGGGTAGAAATCCAGTCAAAAAATCAGAAAAGTGCAATGAAAGATTGCAGTAGACTCAGCCACATGACCTGGAGTTGTAAATCACATCAATTTTTCATTGTAATGATTTGAACTTGACAGAGCCACCACTGACAAGCAACTGGCTACTTGCAGATATGTCACCTTAATGCTTTCCTGTTGTGTAAACTGAATGATATCATATATGATTTGAGATCTGGAAGGAAGCTTAGAGGTCGTTTTCATCACTCCTCCCCCTTTCGTTGTTAAAGAAACAGAACTAGAAAGGTTAAGCTACTTGATAGCAGAAGTAGAATTGAACTTAGACTATACATTGAGTTTGCTTTTGCCTGCATCCTTCTGATTCTTGCATTCAACCACAAAATCAACTTTATTGGAATTAATCTCACTGTATGTTTGTCCAGAGATAAACTGTGGTTGTCTGACTCACAAATACAGACCCAAAGGCTTTAGTGCTAGAAGGGCCTCCTTCTTCCCCTTTGGTTCAGTCTAAACAGTGGAAATAAGAAAAATAAAACTCTCACGTTGTAGCAAGATTTTATGCACCTTAAAAAGTACGTGTGAAATTTCTCTAAACTATTAATGGCTTTTACTGTACTTCTTATTTTAAAATGTCCCTTTGGAGTCAGAAAGCCTTGGCTCAGTTTTTCCCTTCTGGCAATCACTGGCTCTGTTGGCTTTGAGGTTACAGGCTCTCTGAGCCTAAGCTCCCTCATTTGTAAAGCAAGGATGGTGCTTGTAGTTCCTGCCTCACAAAGTGGTAATTAGCTTAAATGGGATGACATAAGAAAAGCCCTTGGCAGACTTTAAAGTTCTGAACTTAAATGTCTGCTATTATTATTGCTACTTATTTTAAAAATCCCCTATTCTAATATTTGGGTGTTCATGTTATAGTAATATCTAAGGCAAAATTTCCTAGACTTACTTACTCCTATGCAACATATTACTTAGTTATGGTTACTAAGCCCCTGTAGTTCATTTTTACTGGCTTCTGTTTGCTGTGTGAAGCATAGTTAAACAATCAAGATAATGAATGCAAGGAACATCAGATCAGCTTGTGAAACCATTATGAATGAATATCCATATTTTGCTTAACTTATGGAGAAACTGTAGAAAAACCGTGTAATAACTTAGTAGCATGTATATTATGTTTCTTCACAAGTACGATGAAGTAAAACCTTAATAATATAGACAGTATATTTTAGGGATTTATAATAATCTAGTTACATTAGAAATAAAAAAAATCTGGCTCCATGGAAAACATTTTTCTTTTGAGTTATACAAACCACTTCCCTAGATTTAGGAAAAACTGAAATTTTCACAGTACTTTTAGTACCCTTTAATGAATGTCATCTAGTAGGTATTGTTCTTTCATTTCAATCCATTCTTTAGAGTGATACCAGTGTTAAATAGGCATGAGGATAGGAGTGAGAGAAGTGTGCTAGGATCTAAGGATATAAAATCTTATAACATACTTGATGGCTTAAGGGAGGTTGTGAGGACTGTTTTCCCAACATTCCAGTGACTGATTACTAATTAGTCTAGTGAAGGAAGCTCTGTTGTTGCTTTGGAAGAGAAAGAGGTCTTTGTAAGCGTTGATGAAAAGAAGGTATAACTGTTAAGAGGTAAAGACAAGTCGAATTTCAAAGGAAATTTTGTTCATGTGCACTCCCATGTAAGGGCTGTTTTTGAGACATAGTTGGAGAGCTAGAGCGGTAGAAGTGAGATGTATTAAGAGACCTATATCAGAAGAGCTATAGGATTAAGCAAGAAGACATCGAAAAGGGGGCTTCAAATGAATTTGATTCTGAGGGAAGATCTGTTGTAGTAGTGTATACTGTGAAGACCTTTCTCTAAGAATGGTGTCAGAAAGCCTGTCCTGTCTCTAAAAATATGGCAGAGGATCTTCCTAAAATGTTAGTAGGTGAACTTATAAGGAAAACCCTCCGGATCAGGCACTTTCCCTAAAAGTTATCCTCAGTTCTCATACAAGTACTTAGGCTGTTAAGACATCATCAAATAAGGGGCACATGTTAACACAACAAAAAATCAATAGAATGGGCTCATGTTTGTGCCTATAAGCAATAAAGATTTTTTTTCATTTTGGTGGACCCCTCCCTTGCTTTAGTTCTCCCCATCTTGGACAGTTTTCCCAACTTAGAATGTTCCCTTGGAGTGAGACATTGCCAGATGGAGATAGAATTCAGAGGTGCTCAGGAATTAAGCAGCCTTCGCCCCTGGGTCCTTCCTGCCCCAGAGGCTAGTACTCCTAATTTAGTGCTATCCTGAGTATGAACAGGTGCATAACTACTTTAAGTATTGAAATACAAAAGAGAACTAATATATAACCTCATCTCATAAACTTTAGTGCCTACTATGTTCAAAGTATTGGGTGTAAAAAGGCGAAAACAAAGCAGCCTTTGCCTTCATGGAACTTGTATTCTAGTAGGAACAACATATACAAATAAGATAAATAAATACAAAGAATGTACCAAATTAATATAAAGTAATTTCAAGAGGAAGAATCAGGAAGGCTTCAGGTAAGAGGTGGCAATTGGTGTGTGTCTTGAAGGAAACTAGAGACAATAAGATACGGAGGTGAAGGAGCCCATTTGTCCAAAAGTGTGGAAGCAGGACATGGAAGGTAGTGGTTCAAGAGTGAGAATGTGGAGGGGAATAATATGAAATAAGACTGAAAAGGTGGAGACCTTTAAATGCTGTGGAGGGGATTTTGTATTTTATTGTTCTAGAAATAAGTGGAAGATGCTTTTGCAGTGTGGAATTCTGTTTTGACTATATTGAGTTTGAGATGTCTATGGGACAGCAAGTAGGTAATAGATAATTGACTAGAGTTGAGTTGAGAGATTGGTGCTGGTTGTATATGTTTGAGATTTACCTGGATGGAGATCCAATCCCAGGGAACCTGAGGTCACCAAGGGAAGAGTATAGCAAGAGCAAAGTAAAGGGACTAGGACAGAGCCAAGAACAAGTGTAAGAATGAGTGTATGCCCACACTTAGTGGGTGGGAGGGGCCACAGTGTTACAGCAAAAGAGACTGAGAAGGAATATTCAGGTAGATAGGAGAAAAACCAGAGGAGAGCATTTCCAGAGGAGATTGATGGGCAGTGTCAGAAGCTACAGAGATGTTAAGTAGAATGAGGACTGACAAAAGACCATTGCATTTAGTAGGTAAGAAATATTGGTTGTGAGAATAATAGCTAACATTTATGTAATACTTTAAGGCTTTCAGAGAATACATATTTTATCTAATTTGATGTGAAGTAGTTGGTACTCCCATTTTACCCATGAGGACACAGGTTGAGAAGAGATTAGGGAACTTTTCTAGTCACATAGCTAGTACATATAAGGCAAGATTAGAACTCTTGACTTCCTGACTCCAAGGCTACAACCTAGTTTATTGAAAGATTGAGAAGTAAGTGGGTGGTGAGTAAATAGTAAGCTGCCTGCATCCTGTATAAGTTTAAGTTGAATGGTACCTCTCTGCCAGATGTAAGATCTCTTTGTGCTCTGGTGCACAACTTCTCCCTGTGCTATAGTGTTCCACATGGTGTGCTTTTAGCTAGGCCTCGTCCCCAGTATATGCAGACCCCTCTGTCTCCCTATGCTGACTTGGATTGATCAAATATGATTTTTCTTGGATTTCTGAATCAGCATTCCATGTGGTGCATTTTCTAGATCTTTTGGCAAGAAATTCAAGGGAGGTGGGGGTGGTTTGCACTGTATTTCTGTAATTTTGGCTCCACATCTCTATCTATCCGTTAATTTATATCTATTCTTCTTTTGGAGGATTGTGTTGGGTGTTTTTATGAGACATGATTTGTTGCTCTTTTTTTTTTTTCTAGAATAGTGCATTTTAGTTGTGTTTGAATATGTTTATACTATACTTGATTTGATGTTTATACTTGCTTGAAGTTTTTTCCCTTTAATTAATTGCAGACAACAGTGATGTTTATTTAGATGTCACTGGATCTGATGAAAGTGAGTTGGAGGAAGATACCGAAGATGATAGTAAAACAGAAGATGATGAACAATCAGAAGATAGAAGTGCCGGGGATGATGAGGAAATCTCAGAATATGATGATGAAGATGATGATGAAAGTGATAGTGGCCCTGATCTTGCTAGAGGAAAAGGAAATATTGAAACTAGTTCAGAAGATGAAGAAGATGATATGACTGAATTTTTTCCTAAGGAACCTATTTTTGAGCATGCGTGGAGAGAATTAGATAAAGATGCCCCTCGGGCAGATGAGGTAAATCTTTTAATAAAACCAATTTTTTCATTAAGGGCTTAAATTAAAATTTTACTGGTAGAAAATGCTCTTTATTATGATCTCTGATTAGCTAATCATTTACTTGCTTTAGCTATCAGTTTCCATTTCTAAGCCCACCAAAATTTTACCTTAATTGATAACCTAAGAAATTTTTGTTTGTTAAGGGTGAGGCTGTGAAATGAATCAAAGACCAGAAGGATTTTAAAAACTGGGTATAAACTGGTTTGCCCCCCTTAGAGTTGACTGAAATAGCTCATGATCAAGTTACTATGTGCAAACTGAGAAATTGGATGAGTATTATTCTGTATATTTTAGCTGATTCTTAATTCATTTAAAGTTTAAAAATAATTTATATTAAAATAAGTGTAAAATTAATATGTCCATGCGGTAGTTTTATATTCATTTCTAATATAAATATAGGGATAATATAAAATATGACATTTTATCTTCCTCTTCAACTATGCAGATTACTCGTCGACTAGCAGTTTGCAACATGGACTGGGATAGATTAAAGGCTAAAGACTTGCTGGCTCTGTTCAATTCATTTAAACCAAAAGGTGGTGTTATATTTTCTGTGAAGGTAAGGGCCTAATTTCACTTTGAAACTGATTCTTCCAGAATGTCAAGGTCATTTCTCTTTTTTTTTATGTCATCTTTTGTTAATAAAGGTAAACCACCAGTCAGTCATAAGATTAGAAGTAGACCTATAAAAGCTTTTTTTTTTGAAGCCTTTGACTTTAACAAGGACCACACTTAAGTTGTCTGCCATAGATTGGCATCAGCTCCATTTTTTAAGATAGATTGTTGGTCGTATCAGCCCAGCGTTCTTCTTCCTCTCCTTCCCAGAGAGCCATCTCTTGAAACAAAGAACTTAAACAAGAGAAAACAAAAATCCAGCAAAGCTGAACAACCCATCAAAAAATTTGACATCTGTAGCGTTCCATACTGGTGAACTCTCCTTCCTCCTCCTGCTAAGGAGCAGGGAAGGTATCTTTTCACAACTCTTCTTGGGGGTCAAAAAAACCTTTATGGTTATTTAAAATGAATTTTTATTGATAACTTTAGTTTTTAATCAGCTGAAATTCCCTCTTACTACCTTCCTTTAATCCCACCTAGAAAACCATTCTTAATTTAAAAAAGAAAAAGCAGAAGGGGGGAAATTAGGCAAAACTAATCAGAAAGACAAAGTACTAACTTGAAAAAGGAAGGGGAACTAAAAAACTCCTAATTAACTCTACTTTAAAGTTTTCTGAGTCTTTCTCAGTCTTTCAATATTAAAAGTCCTAATATGGTGTGATTTCACTGATAGTTTTACTGATTAGATATGATTTAAATGGATCTTTGATCTCATTAGTATACCTGCTCTATTCTATATCCTAAATGAGTCTCTGTGTATTTTTTCATAACTCTTCCATGAAGAATCCACTCTTCTTTCCTCTAGTTTTCTTAACATCTCCATATTATCAATACATTCACTTTTAGATCTTTGAGGTGTTTTTCTTTTATTGATGTTTGACCAGCCTACCTTGTATTTTAATGCATGTTCTTGATTTTTATGACCATCATTTCTCCAGAAAAATCCCAACAAAATAAAATGGATACCAGGTGTTGACTCCCCCCACCCAGAGAAAAAAAAAACCTTTGAAAAAGCATTCCCTGAAACCAATTAAGCAAAACCATCTAATGAAATGTTTTCCATTGATAGCATATGTAATTTCCTACTTTTGTAATTTGTCTTATTTTTAAAAGAAAGGGAAGGTGTGTCCTTTTATTTTGATAGTTTATTACTACTTTTGACCATTGTATTTAGCCCAAGTTTTGTTGACTTCAATTAATAATTTGTATTATTCGTACAAATAATTTGTAATCAAAGTGAATATTGTTTTTTGATTCTTTCTTCATTCCCTCATATGAATTCTCCCATATTTTTCTGAAGTATTCATATTGGTAATTCTTTACAATGCAGTAATATTTCGTTATATTCTTGTACCGCAGTTCAGCCGTTCTCAAAATCGGGGGCACATTTTTCATTTCTTTTTATTATCACACAAAATGTTACTACAGCAGTTTTTGTACATACAGAGTTTTCTTGCTGTCAATAACCTCCATATCTATCTGTGTATCTATAGCTAGATATCTATAGCTAGATATAGTCCAACTAGTAGATTTCCAGGTTAAACAATATGAACAAATTACTAAGTTTGCTTTTATAACTGAATTCTTTGCTAGAATGAATGGTCTAGTCAATCAACTAGTATTCCTGGTATTTCTTAAGCACATACTTGGTAGAAGGTATTGAATTAGTCAGGGGTGGGGAACCTGGGGCCTCAAAAGCCACATGTGACCCTCTAGCTCCTTGGGTTAGGCCCTGTAACTGAATCCAAATTTCACAGAACAAATCTCCTTAATAAAAGGATTTGTTCTGTAAAACTTGGACTGTTTTACAGTCAAAAAAAAAGCCAACTAGAAAAACAACAAATTAAAAATCCTCAATTAAACACCATATTAAGAACCCAGGTAATCAAGAGAGAGGTTAACAAAATTGGAAGTAAAAAAACAAACCACAACTAAAACTAGAAGCCAGTTTTATGGAAAAAAGAAAATGTAAAATAAATAAACCATTGTATGATTTGATTTTAAAAGAAAAAGGAAAGAAGAAAATAAAATTATCAGTATTAAAAATGGGAAAAGGTGAATGTACAACCAATGAAGATAAAATTAAAGCAATTGTTATGAGCTAATTGGCCCACCTATATGCCAATAAAATTGACTATCTAAGTGAAATGAATAGACATTTACAAAAACATAAATTGCCCAGATTAACAGAAGATGAAATAGAATACTTAAATCTTAGAAAAAGAAATTGAACAAGCCATAAATAATATCCCTAAGGGGGTAAGAGGGGGGCCAGGGCCACATGGACTTACAAGTGAATTCTAGTAAATATTTAAAGAAAAATTAATTCCAACGTTATATAAACTTTGGGAAAAAAATAAAGGAGTCCTATCAAATATCTTTTTTCACTCAAATGTGGTTTTGATACCTAAACCAAGGAGAGCCAAAACAGAGAAAAAACTATAGACTAAATTCCTTAGTGAATATTAATGTAAAAATTTTAAATAAAATACTAGCAGGGAAATTACAGCAATATATTATAAAGATCATACACTATGACCAGGCTGGATTTATACCAAGAATGAAGATCTGGTTTAATGTAAGAAAACTGTAAGTATAATTAATTGACCATTATCAATAATGAAAAAGATAAAACTCCTATCAATATATGCAGAAAAGGCTTCTGACATATTACAACATGCATTCCTCTTAAAAACACAAAAAAGCAGGGCAGATAGGTGGATCAGTGGATAGAGCTCCAGCCTTGGAGTCAGGAGGACTTGAGTTCAAATCCAGTCTCAGACATATGACACTTAATAGCTGTGTGACCCTGGGCAAGTCATTTAACCCTGATTGCCTCACCAAAAAGAAAAAAAAACCACACACTAAAAAGCACAGCAGTCAATGGAGTTTTTATTAAAATGATAAATAGCAAATGTCTAAAACCAAGAGCAAGCATTTGCTGTAATGAGGATAAAGTAGAAGCCTCCCCAATAAGATCAGGGGTGAAGCGAAGTTGTCAGTTATTACCACTATTATTCAATATTGTACTAGAAATGCTAGTTGTACAGTAAAATAAGAAAAATAAATTGAAGGAATAAACATTGGTAATGGGGAAATAATACTTGCTTTTTGTAGATGATGTGATGGATAGGGTCAAAAGACTAATGAAAACAATTAACTACTTTAGCAGAATTGAAGGATATAAAATAAAAGCCACACAAATGATCAGCATTTCTATGTGTTATAAACAAAATACAGGAAGAGAGAGAAATTCCATTTAAAATAATTTCAGACAGTATAAAATATTTAGGAATCTACTTGCTAATATACATACAGTAACTATGTGAACACAATTACAAAACACTCTTAACACAAATGAAGACAGATCTAAATAACTGGAGAAATAGCCACTGCTTATAGGTACACCAAGCTACTATAGTAAAAATGACAGTACTACCTAAATTAATTTACTCATGTAGTGTCATACTAAACTACCAAAAAATTACTTTACAGAGCTGGAAAAAAATAATAACAAAATTCCTCTGGAGGAACAAAAGGTTAAGAGTATCAGGAAAATCTGTGGAAAAAAAAATGTGAAGGAAGGGGGCCTAGCAGTACCAGATCTCATACTATAGTACAGAGTCATAATCATCAAAACAGTTTGGTGCTGGATAAGAAATAGAGTGGTTGATCACTGGGCAAGATTAGGTACACAAAATGCAGAAGCAATTGAACACAACAGGCTAGTGTTTGATAAACCCAAAGATCACAACTATTGGGACAGGAATTCATTATTTACCAAAAACTATTGGGAAAATGGTAAAGTAATTTGGTAGGTATAGGCCAACATCTCACATTATGTACCAAGATAAGCTCAAAATGGCTACATGATTTAGACATAAAAGTGATATCATAAGCAAATTAGGGGAGCATAAAAGAAATTACCTGTCAGATCTATGGATAAGGGAAGAGTGCATAGCCAAACACAAGATAGAGAGGTACATAAAATTAGAAAGTTTTTGCACAAACAAAACCAGTGCAGCCATAATTAAAAGAAAAGCAGGAAATGGGGTGGATTGGATTGTTTGCAGCAGGTTAGCAGGTTTCTGTGATAATGGTTTCATTTCTCAGATATAGATATAGATATAGATATATCTATATCTATATCTATATATATACACAGAGAGAGAGAGAGAAAATTTATATATAGATAGATATAGATACACAGAGAGAGAGAGAGAAAACTGAGCCAAACTTATAAAAATAGGAGCCATTCCTCAATTAAAAAATGGTAAAGATGTGAATAGGCAGTTTTCAGAGGAAGAAATCCAAGCTATAAATAATCATGAAAAAAATGCTCTAAATCATTATTGATTAAAGAAATATAAATTTAAAAAGCTTTGCAGTACTACCTCATGCCCATCAGACTGACAAAAATGACAGAAAAGGAAAATGACATGCAGAGGAGATGTGGGAAAATCAGTACATTGATGCAGTTGGTGGAGCTGTGAACTAGTCTGTACATTCTTGAGAACAGTTTGAAAGTTTGCCAAAAGGGTTCTGGTACAGCATTATCAGTACTTGGTCCATACACCAAGGAGATTAAAGAAAAAAGGAAAATGACCCATATGTGCAAAAGTATTTATAGTAGCTCTTTTTGTGGTGGCAAAAAAATTGGAAAGGGAGGTGATGACTATCAGTTTGGGGAATGGCTTAACAAGTCATGGTATATGAATGTGATGGAATACTGTTGTGCTATAAGAAATGATTAAGGGGATGGCTTCAGAAGAACCTGGGAAGACTCATGTGAGCTAATACAAAATGAAAAGATTTGTAAATCTAGGAGAGCAGTCCACATAGTAACTGCAATATGCTGTGAAAGACTTAATACTTCTGATCACTGAAATGATCCTCCACAGCTCCAAAGGATTCGTGATATAAAATAACTATCTCCTTCATTCAGGTAGAGAACTGATGGACTCAGAGTACAACCTGAAGCATAATTTTTCCTTTATTTTCCTTGCTTTATTTTTTTCTTTTTGGAACATGGCTAATGCAGAATATGTTTTGCATGACTTTATATATGTATAATAGTTATAGTATTTTTTGCCTTCTCACTGGGTGAGGGGTGAAGGGAGGAAGGGAGAGGTTTTAGAATTGAAAATAAAAACAAAATAAAATTAAACCCTTAGTTTGGTTAACAATTTTGTGAAACTAAATGGAAATTTCAGCACATAGATTGCATTTGTATATATGTAGAATATGAGGAATTAACAATCAGTCTTTTGAGGCTAATAGTTGACAAAATGTATCTTGATTTCAATAAGACATTTTACGGAAGCTAATGCTATTCATGGAAATAGCATGGTTGAAACACAGAAAGTGCTAAGTTTGGAATCAGGCTCTGCCACTTAACTTACAGTATGTGACCTTGGGCAAGTCACTTAACTTTTCTCAGCCTCAGTTTCTTCACCTGTAAAATAAAAATGTTGGACTAGATGAGTGCTAAGATCCCTTCCAACTCTGAGTTTACAGTGATATAGTCATTTATCATCAGCAAGATATCACAAATTTAGGTGTTTGCTTCCAAATTATTTGTTTCTGGACATCTTAAATTATTATACATTTTAATGCACTTCTAAGGATTAAATGTAAAGGATTCCATACTAAGAAGAATTGTGTGCTTACATTCTGACATAAACAGATGGTTTTTGTCTTTTAAGCAGATTATTTTATAATTTGTTCTCTGCTTTACTTTTAGATCTATCCTTCAGAATTTGGGAAGGAGAGAATGAAGGAAGAACTTGTTCAAGGACCTAAAGAATTACAAAGTATTCCTGAGGATGCTCCTGAAAAAGACTGGTACTAAAATGAAATTTTTTAAAAAATCAGTTAAAAACATAAATTTAATAACCCAGATTCCATTATTTTAAATTTTCCAATCATTTTGTTAGGTTCTAAGCTAAAGTTTATTTATCTCTGTAAAAAAGGGGGGGAGGGGGAGTTGGCTAAGTAAATTAGTCATGACAGAGTAGATGAAAAAGGATAATATTTAAGTGACAGAATATCCTAGCGACTCTTGGTTAATCTAGTTCATGTTACTGTGGATAGAAGTCATAATGTATCTCCTTCCACATAGTCTGTAATTCAAACTAATCTATACTGGTCTTGAATGCAGGATGATTTTGATGTTTTTCAGAAATTTTTCTTTTCAGAGAAATATTCTTGAAGCTCTGCTTCCTGACATTAACTAAAGCCACTTTCTGTGATTTCAGTAATAAAAGCATGAGCTCTGTACTGTCCAGTGATCTCATATAGTGGTGATTTCTTTTGAACCACTAGGTGGAGCTATTAGTACTGGCTAGTAAAGCTTAACTGTAATGGTTCTGAAAGAAATCTCAAAGTATGTAGAAAACATTCATAACCATTAAGGAAAATTAAATTAAAGCCCATAACAGTTAGGAAAACATTTTATAACAGATGGAAAATGTGAATTTAGTGCAAGTATTTCACCAAATCAGGAACCTTTTTAATTATACCTAATTCTATCTAGACATATTTTGTTAATGCTTTGATTTCATGTAGTGGTTACATTTTAGAAAGCTGTGTATGGTGACAAAAATATTGTTCCCAAAGTATAATTAAGTTTATAGATAATTGTGCACAGAGTTCTCAAATTGACTTTCTAGCTGCTAAATTTCATTCACAATATTGCTTGGAAAGTTTGTGCCTTCTCAGGAAAAAATAAGTTGGTTACACTGAAGAATTTAGGCTAGTATATAAAAGCCAGATTATGAAAAACATGGTTTGAAGAGAAGGCTATATTTGTATGTATTTTTCTTGGAGGATCTCTGTGTTTCAAAAACAAAGATTTCTACTTACTTTATATAAATATGCTTAATGTGTTTTGTTTTCTTTTATAGGACCTCTAGAGAAAAGTTAAGAGATTATCAGTTCAAGAGACTAAAATACTTTTATGCAGTCGTCGACTGTGATTCTCCAGAAACAGCCAGTAAAATTTATGAAGACTGTGATGGACTGGAATTTGAAAGTAGCTGTTCCTTTGTAGATCTGAGGTAACTCCAGTTATGCATCTTTACGGTTTCTTTTGCTCATTGCAATGCAACATGACTTTTTTGGACCTTCATATATATTAATTATGCTTTCACTGGTATCTCTTATGCTCCAAAGCTGGATTTTTAATCATAGAATAAAATATATCATGAGGAAATGTCACCCTTAAAAAAAGGAAACTGATAGTGGGAAATTTGATGATGATATATGTCATATATTCTACTGACTTAATATAATATATGTATTTTACATATACACGTGTGTGTGTATACATGTGTTCATACACATTTTATTGATACCTTTTATTTCTATAAGTCTTCTTTTCTTCCCTGTCATTGAATCTGCATTTGTGACAAAGAAAAATAATTAAGCAAAAACATCAAATTCAGTGAGAGTATTTGCCATTGTTGTATACAAGTTTGTGGCAGTTGTCCTCCATTTCTCCTCATGGAGGGGAGAAGAGGTTGTTTCAGTCTTTATTTTCCAGGACCTTCATTGGTTTTTCAGTTATTCACGGTTCTAGTAGGTATATTTTAATTTATGTTCTTGTAGTCAGTGTTTGTATTGTTTTCTTGATTTTGTTTCTTTTACTTTATCTTGTCATATTGCACAATCGGTGAAACTCCATTATGTTCATTCCATAGTATTTGTCATGTTCCTTCATATTTTTTCATGTTGTTATTTTTGTTGTTGGGATGTTAACCCTCTCATTTAGTTGGAGACCAGGTGTGGTAACTCGATTCCTTTTTTTCTGAAGGGGAAAAGCAAAGGGGAGTAAAGGAGCAATAGGGGTTGCTCTAGTGAGTGAATGCTGTATTGGTATTGTCTTTGGGCTCTGGCAGTATTTTCACAAATTGCTCAGGCTTCAGTGACTCAGAACTGAAAAACTTCAGATCATTTTGAATCTCAAGTCTAAGGAAAGAGGAAGCTGAACTACTGTACCATTTTATCTTTAGACTGTTCCTTTTGTTGCCCAGTTAAACCAGTCTACTGTGACTGTCAGTAGAAATCAGCTCCTTAACAGCCTAGTTTTGTTAGAGAGCTTTGTACTCAAAGTGAAATATTTCAGAAAAGGGTGAGATGTATTGTTTCAAAGACACTGGGATTTTTATGTTTCAATGGATTTCAAATTTAGAAAAAAAAAACCCAATGGTTTTTCTTAACTTGGTCTTTAACATGTTTGAATATTGACTGGAAAGGCATTCTCTTGTTGAACAAATAAGTGAATTTCCTTCCCTTTCTACTTAACTTACAAAAGTGGGGTTTTTTTAGGTGTTCAGTTAGTGGCTTTCAGGCATTTATTAAGGTTTCATTCATTTCAAATATGAATTAATGATAACTAGCTTACTTTTTTCAGAATTGTTTTCTTTTACTTGCTTATTGGGAGAATGTCATAAAGGATTTAAAACTGTTCTAGTAGAGAGAGCAGTGCCTAGAAAATGTATTTAATAGGCATGAAGAAGTTTCATTTTCTTTCATTTTGTTGTATACTACATCAACAAAACAAACTGAATTTTTTTCCTACCCTATCTAAGAAAACCCTTTTTTGTCAGCCCCCAAATGCAAAAGCATATCTTGTTAACCTTTGGGATCATTCATATTGGACATAGTAAAAATATTTTACCAACTGCAATCATTTATTCCTGTTGAGCCCATACACAAGCCCATCTGGTAAGAAAATTGATTTTTTGAATTTAATACTAATAAACCATTCCAAAGAAAACACTTTGTGGTAGAATATAAACCATATGCTGCCTTTTGAAAATATAGTATTACTGTACCTGAAAAGTGTACAAGATTTAAGTATAGTCAAAGCATGACAACATGAGATTTTCAAAGTAATTGAAGTGGGTAAATATGTAAAAATGAAATTACTTCTAGTGGTTTTTGTACTTTAATCCTTAAGAAAGCATTATCAGTTTTTCTCTTAGTCTTCATGCATCAACTTCAAATATTATTTCTAAATTCATTTTTATGTATTTTTCTGAACTTATTAGCAAACACCAAATAAAATGTGCATATTAATATACATAGTAGGATGGGAAAAAGGATATTATATGTGAAAATCTCTATGTATAGGTTACTTTTCTCTTTAAATGTATAAATGTATTCAACCTATAGCTTTCAAAACTATCCCGCTTGTCCATGCTTCTTCCTGAATCTTCTTCTGTTATCTTCTCTGCATTAAAAAAAATAGATGTCTCAGTGACCTCCTTTTTCTTTTTCTCCTTTTTTGAGAAGAGGGAGGGTTATCCTATTTCCCCTTCAACTTTCCACCCCCTACCCTGTTGGGAAAAAAAGAAAAACAAAGCCATTGTAATAAATATGTGCAGTCAGGCAAACAAATTTTCCTATTGACTGTGTCCAAAGATGTATGTTTTATTTTATATCTTGAGTTCATCACGCTTCTATCAAGAGATGGGTAGCATGCTTTCACCATTAGTCCTCTGGAATTGTACAGATATTATTTTTCAGATAATACCTTGCTTATGTGTAGCACATTGTTTTGTTTTTCAAAGTGCCATCACATCTGTGAGTTCATCTGATCCCTGTGACACAATATGTTTAGATAGGAAAGGTGATTTTTAAAAAAAATCCCTATTACATAAGCAGTTAAAGCACAGAGAAATTGTAGCTTTTCCAGGATTATATTGTAGGTCAGCGGCAGAGCTACAAAGTGAATTTCTTTGAAACATGCAAGGCTTGCTATTAATGAAACTATGGTCCTTGATTTTCTACTCATTCATATACCAGACACACATATACCCCAGAACATAGCAAATTAATAAGATATTAAGAGTTTCACCAACTTGAGTTATTTGGGGACAGGGTTAAATGGAACCATATTTTTAAATGTACACATATTCATAAAGTTCTGCTCTAGGGCCTCATTGTGCTATAGAGAGGATCCCAGATTTTCAAAAGCAATGTCGATACATGACAGAATATACCTTGCTAAAAAGAACTTGAGAGTATAGTCCTAGAAATAGACCATGTCTGTTTTTCAGGACTGCCTAGTGCAGAAAGGATAGCTTGGCCACTTGATGATGAGTTTGTTAGCCACAGCAACCATGAAACAAAACTTTAAAATGCCCCTCAATCCTGTGTAGCCCCTTGTAGCTCTGTAGTGACTGAGTGACAGAATGTGCCAGAATGGTGGAAAAAGAGGCAGAGGATGCTGAGAATCACAAAAGTTATAAACCATTGATCAGTTTAGCTGTTGGTATTTTAAAATCTGAGACCATTGAGTAGGCATGTTCCTGGAGAAACTGAATTGGTATCGATCTTGACATTTTCACTATAAACAAAGCCAGAAGACTCAGGGAAGTTGGAGTAAAAATAAGGGATAATTTACAAGATCTCCTTGAAAGGGCAAATAAAGGAGTCGGGAAGATTGTTTTTTTTATTGTGTGTACATAGATGACAAGAAACATTATTTCATTTTGAACATCTTTTATTGCAGTGCTCGATAGTTTTGTTAAAAGGTCATAGTGAACATCTGTTAAAACCTGGTAAGACCCTCCAAATTAAATGACCCAGTAGATTCATTATAAAGGTAGTAAGCATGGAATGGGGCATCAAATTCTTGTCTTGAATAAATTTTGGCATGAGGCTTCTGTGTAGATTACAAGTTTTTGACCTAGCTCATTCCTTGTTCCTGAACTATATATTCCAACATACTTGCCTACATATGATCAGCATAGACTAATACTAAAAAAGAAATTTATAACCAAGCAGAAATTACTCATGCTATGGAAGCCATTTCTAATTCAGATATTTGTGTGTAAGCAGAACACCAACTTGCTCAAGAAAAGTTCAAAATTAATATGAAGCCACAAGAAACAAAAATGGAAAAGATATGTATTTAAAACAACTACAACCTGATAAATTTAAGCAAGTTGTTGATCCCAAATAATGAGAAAAAATGGAAAAGGGGTCTCTAACACCCATTTAAAAATTTTCTTATTGAAGTTTAACTTGTGTAAGTTGTCATGTTGAAGACATTTTTTAAAAAGGTAAAAAGCACCTATTCTGGAGTCATACAGAAAGAGATGACAACGAAGGGAAGAAATTGTTTAGAGTATAAACTCATTTAAAAATTTGACAGAGGATGGTGGAAGATTATGAACAGTGTCATCATAAAACAGAGAAGCAGTGGAGAAAAAACTTGTTTCAAAACTGCTGTGTGAGATATCCATCTGAGTAGAGTCATCCCATGGTCATTTAAAGAATGAAACTGGTGGGAGGAAAACCAATAAATACAGACTAAAAATAATTCATGAAAATGTTTATGACAAACTCTCTTCACCATCAAGGATAGAGGGAGCATTTGAACTCAACATCACAATCCAGGTCTTGCCTCAGACTGTGTCTTAGAAGATTTAATCTTTTCATACCTGGAACTCCTACCATGAAGTCCTACTTAATATCTCAGATGGCCCGTTCTTTCTGGCCAGCTCCAGCCTTGCTTTACTTTCCTACCCAACCATTTCACCAGCTGTTGTACACTCTACCTCACCCATCCCTTTGCAGTTCTGGAACCTTAATCAATTGTATTCTAACATTGCTACTTGGAAGGGTGTGTCATTCTACTTCCCATATTTCGTCTTACTTTCCCTTAACTTCTCAAATGAAGTGACCCTTTCTGGTCCCCACTTCCCTTCACTATATGTCTCCCCTTATAAGAATGAATCTCCTTGAGTGCAGGAACTATCATCACCTTTGTATTTGTACCCCTAGTTCTTAGCAAATTATTTGACATATAGTAAGTGATTAATGAAATGCTATTTTATTAATCCATCCTTGCTTTTCCTTGCACATAATACTCAGTCTCCTATCTCTACTTCTTTTCACTGACAAGTCCCTCTTCCTGTAATGCACACCTTGCTTACCTCCACGTCTGATTTAAATACATATAGAAACTTTTGCTTTTAAAACATAAATACAGCTCCTCTAAGAAAAATAAATGCAAATTGGCCTCTTCAGCGGACATCTGTACAAAATCTTTCTTGGTCCATCTAGCTCACAGTTTCTTAACCTTGGGCCTCAGATCTTTTTTTTAAGTTAATATTTTAAATACCCATATTTCGGTATAATTGATTTCCCTCATAATCTTATATATTTTGTTTTATGCATTTCAGACCTTATTGTGAGAGGGTCTGTAGCTACTGAAATCCATAGCTGAAAATGTTAAGAACTCATGTTCAGCTGCTAATACCTAACTTTCTTCCCCCTCCCCTATTTATGTTTTGTTCATTTTGTACACACTTACCTATGCACATGATGTCTCCTGCTATAGAATGTAACCTCCTTGAGGGAAAGAGCTACTTTATTTTTGGTTTTTGTGTCTCCAGTGCCTAAAGGAGTGCCTGGCATGTAGTAGGCCCTTAGTAAGTGCTTGTTGATTGACTGTACATGCCCACAGAGCTAGGGGAAATGGTATTGAAGAGAAACAGTAGCTGGCTTTAACCAGGTATGCATGGAGGAGGTCCATGTTGGATGTGACACAGTTTTGAGGGCACTGAGGGACAGAGTTCAAACATAGTTCTAAAGACTTTGGTGAGGAGCGGTGAAAACCCAGTGAATTTCCTTGATGGCTGCTTTTTAAACTCTTGCCAGTAGCTCTCATTTATATTAAGCTCAGCTGGATCCTCACTGTGTCAAGGTATTCCTTTTATTCGTCCCAAATCAATTCACTGTTCCACTCTGCATAGTGCCTTTTCCAAATCTTTTTATCCCTTCCCAAACCTCCCATGGCTTTCACTCATCAGAGATCTGATCCCATTCTTATTCACAAGATCTTATTCTTGTTCACAAGAAGCTTGCATTCTAATGAGGAAAGGAATAAATATGCACATAAGTATATAGAGAATAAAAATAAAGTTAATAAATACAAGTTCAGACTGTGCTATTCAGTGAGATGGATAACCTAAAAGAGTTTTGTCCATGTGTGTATCTCAGACACCGAAAATTGACAGTGGTGAGTCCCAGAATTGAATAGGATGCAGAAAGCAATGTAGAGTGCCTTTCAAAAATTGCAGAGTTCTTTGGCTTCTCCATGAAACAAAGGCCCATTTTATAACACCATTCTTTCAGTGATGATGTATGGCTGTGAGTCTTTGAACATCACATTCAAGAATTAAAGTTGATGATCACCCCAGAGTCAGTGGGAAACAGGTTGTTGGTGTGAAGAGCAACACTATATTACAAAAAATTATGAAGGATATCATCAATCAGCATCTCATTATAGAGGAAATTGGAGTGATCCCATAGGGAAAATTCAGACAAATACGTATACTCCATGGGCATCTTCTGGATATTTTAAAAAACGCTCAAGAAAGACCCCCAGCATATGTTAGGTAGAACTTCTTTGGCAAACTTAAGGGAAGGATATACATTAGTTACATGGGATGATAAGCGTGATTAGTTACTGTCTGCATCATTAGAGGGAATACATACATTAATGAGATTACATATTTATTAGATATATCAAAGCAAGTATCTTGGTGTAAAATAATAGGTAACATTTATATAGCACTTACTATATGCGAGGCACTGCTAAGCATGTTACAATTATTATTTTATTTGATCTTCATGACAACCCTGGGAGGTAGGTGCTATTATTATCTCCATTTTATAGATGAGGAAACCGAGGCAAACAGGTTAAATGAATTGCCCAGGGTCACTCAGCTAGGAAGTGTTGGAGGCTGGATTTGAACTCTGGTCTTCTTGACTCCAAGCCCAATGCTCTCTCCATTGCGCCACCTATCTGTGGTATATATACATACACCCATTGGTTTGTTATTCTGTTTTGAAAATGTTGATTGCTTTGAACAGCCTATAGAATATATGTCTAAACTGTAGCTAACTTAAAGAATCCAACATTTTTGTTTATTGCTGAAATATTCTTTAAATTTTTTTGTTCTTTTTCTTGTTTTTGCATTTAAAGGTTTATTCCAGATGATATTACATTTGATGAGGAGCCAAAAGACATAGCCTTAGAAGTGGATATAACAACCTATAAACCCAAATATTTTACATCTGCAGCAATGGGAACATCAACGGTACCTGAATCAAATGCTCTTTAAACTTTCCAACATTTAAAAAATTTCTTTACTTACAAAAATGTGTCAATCATTGTTTAAACACTCCAAGATAAGGTTTTTTTCCCCCTGTGACACTTCCATATCATTTTTGGAAATAATGGGCTCAACATATACTACTGTTATGCAGTCATCATCTGTACTTTTTCTAGGAGTAATGTTAAGGTTTAAAAAGTAGAAGAGCTGGAAGTAGTATTTGGATATGGCTAAATCATATGGGAGTGGGGGGGATTTTCAAATTAATGTGTTTTTACTACTCTTAAATCTGGTTGTCTTCTCTTGATTTTTTTTCCTCTTCTTTATTTCACATTTCCTTTGAACTGTCATCCCCCTATATATCTCTTAGTCAAAAGTGTGTGGCAGAAAGAAGATTCTCAAAACTAAAGGGAAATACAAGAGTATAAAGTGAATGGAAGGATTAGTAGCATATACTTTGGGAAGCAACATTCTAAAATTGACTTTAATATGCCTCATATCACAGTTTAAAACATAAATCTGCATGTCCAAATTAACACAGATTCTATATTGAGATACTTGTAAATGTTCTACAAAATTCAGGCTTATAATTTTGCCGTATTTTCCTGATTTCCATCCATGTGGTATTTTTTTTAAAGGTGGAGATCACTTGGGATGAGACTGACCATGAAAGAATTAAAACACTAAACAGAAATTTTAAAAAAGATGAACTTCTTGACATGGATTTTCAAGCCTATTTAGCATCTTCCAGTGATGATGAAGAAGAACCAGAAGAAGAGCAACAAGGTGCATGTTGATTTTTCTTCTTCTAAAAACTTCTTTGTAGGGGCAGCTAGGTGGCGCAGTGCATAGAGCACTGGCCCTCGAGTCAGGAGGACCTGAGTTCAAATGTGACCTCAGACACTTGACACTTACTAACTGTGTAACCCTGGGCAAGTCACTTAACCCCATTGCCTAGCCAAAATGAAACAAAAACCTCTTTGTATATTGGTTTGCAAATATATAGGGGCTCTTAACAGTTTTAATTTTTCTCTGTGCAGAGGTTTTCAAACTTTTTGGTCTCAGGACCCTCTTAAAAATTGAGGACCCAAAAAGAGCTTTTGTTTATGTGATTGTATCTATCAGTATTTATCATTTTGAAATGTAAATGCCTTCACGTTATTGTGAAAAGAATTTTGACCTTGCCAAAAAGGATCTTGGGAACCTTAGAGATCCTGTGATCACACTCTGAAAGCCACTGCTCTATTGCAAAGAATGCAAGAATGGCGTACTGGATACGTTATATCACCTTCCTAGATTGAAGGGGATAACAAACTGATTTCTTGGGAGGAACATTTATTCTTCATTTCTCTCCACTATCCTGTTCCCTTTCCCAAAAAAACCTTATCATATTTTTGGCAACCTAAAAGTTTTTCACGTTTCATTTAAATCTGGTGCTTGCTGAGATTAGATAAGTTACCAAAAACCTGAAGAAACCTGTCAGGGCTTATATGTGTATTTTTATACTTACTATTTGAATATATACATGAATAGTACTGTTTGTACTCTTTAGTGTTTGACATATACGTAGTATGTAAGAGTGGTATTCAAAGTCACTTTGATTTTTAAATGTAAGGCTCTACCTGGTTTTCTTCAAACTCTGTGGCCCAGTGTAGCTGAACATTCTCACATAAAAATCTTTTGAAGTTTTGTTCTTCAGAAACCTTCTATAATAGAAGCCTTCATATATTACTTCTATCACTAGCTATGATACAGCTGCTGACAAAGGAAAGAGCCATGAGTTATTTATGTCATGCTGTTAAACTAAACTTTGCTTCTTTTCCTTGCAAATTTTCCTTTCATGTAAGAAGCAAAAGATTTATTTTCCTTAGTTTTTACTTTTGACATATTATACAGGCATAAAGATAATTTTTTTAAAAGTTTTGAAAAGAACTTGAAATTAGATGCCATTTAAAAAATAACTTCTCAGTTATCACAAGTAGTTTATCCCTATTTTTCTTCATTAAACCCTTTACAAAACAAAGTTATTCATAGTATAGGTACCTCAGTACATTTTAAAAAATTTATTTTATTTTCAGTCATGGAATAAAACAAGAATTTCCATAATGCAGGACAATAAAAAAAATGATTGCAATTGAAACTGCAGATCTGCCATATACAACTTGCTATTCTCTCCAAGTATACAACAAAGTTATCATTTAATTTTCTTTTTTTTTCCTTCCTCCCAACCCACCCTAGAGATGGCTACCATTAGACACAAATGGGGGGGGGTGGTGTATGTGTATGTATGTAAAATTATTCTATACATACTTCTATTTATCAGTTCTTCCTTAGGATGCAGATAGCATCTTTATTCATATAATCAAAATGACTTAGTCCCTCAGAGTTGTTCTTAAAACCATATTGTTGTTACTGTGTACAGTGTTTTCTTGGTTCTGCTCACTTCACTCATCATCATTTCGTTAAGTCTTTCTATGGCTTTCTAAGGTCAATGAGGTCATCATTTCTTCTAGCGCAGCAGTAATTCATTGCAACCGTACACCACAACTTTTCTTTCTATACTTGATAAGTCCTGGTCAACAATTTTGATTGCTTCATTCTTAATTTCAGTCTATATTTTCCTATCTAAGCTACTAATCTTCTTGGAATATCTTCTAATCTGATTTTCTATTTATTATTTGCATATATCTGACAGCAAAAGTAGTAAGATCCAAGATGTTATATAGCAATGTATTGGAATAACAGTTTGTAGCAATAGAATGCTTAGAACATGAAAGAAAGGTGGCAGCAACATAAATAAATGAACAGCAGGTGATAGTATTAAAGACAGGTGACAACACTGTTCATAAATGTCTTTCTCAATTATTCTTAAGTTGGCTGGTTAAATTTAACCCTAAAATACTCTTGTAATCATATAACTGTGACTGGCGTTCTGTAATAATGTGATTAGTTTTCCATTTTTGCCTTTAGGGCAGGGAAAGTTTTTAATATTTCTTATCCTCATCAAATAACAGGTTTTTCATGAATTTATGCAAGTTTTTTATAGGAATTCTACATCTTTTATTTATATTTAATTAGTTCATTAAAATTGTTTATTTAGTATTTGCTAAGGAAATTGTTAACATTGGAAGTTCAATACTGGAAGTTTTCACAGTTTTTAGAGATCTCAAATAGTTTCTTGATTTTCAGTTCTTGGCGCTACCCATAATTAAGTAAGTATTGTGACTCAGCATACATATAGCAGCCTAGGTATTTATTCAAATAAACTTGGACCCTTTTTTCTCACAGGTGTTTAAGAAAATATGTTAAACAACTATCCTGAGTCTTTTTTTTATGTTTTACGTTATGCTGCTGTATTATCAATTAATGAGAACTCCAAATGGATCCTAGGATTTAAAAGAGAGAGAGAGAGACCTTAGCAATCATATGCCATCCCCTCCTATTACCGTTGAGTAAACTTAGAAGTTCACCACTGAAGTAAGCTGCCCAAATTTATTCAAGTAGTGAATAGGGGCAGAACTTCACTTCCAGTTCAGGTCTGTTGACTCTGAAACCAGTACACTTCTCATTCTATCACAGACAAGGACACAGCATTGTACAATGGAAAGAGTTAAGAGGATCTTGGGTCAAATCTCAGCTTGGTTATATAACATTGGGCAGGTTACTTAACCCTTGTGTGCTATGTGTTCTTCTTCTGTAAAATGAGAGGATTGAACAAAGCAGCTTCCAAGATGCCTCCCAACTCTAAACTCTTTCCAAGACTTGTAATTTAAGATAAGTGGTGACATTCTAGGTTACATTGTTTTTCACATATATTGGTATAAGAGATTTGGTGCATCTGTTGCTAGCAGTGCAACAGGAAGCAAATAGGAAAATTTTAACATTAATATCTTTTTTTTTAATTGAGCGTTTGTTTGACTAAATTTTTAGCATCTCTGCTTAACAAAATTTTTTAAAACAGGTGACAATATGTGATTCCATTCATTTAATAATATATCCACTTGTTGCTCATTGGACAAATATTGTCCAAATTGACAACAATTTAATATATGTATAGTGTTTAGTACTTTCTGCTCCCTTTATTTTCGTTCCATCGCCATTATTGCAGAAGCAAAAGACTATCACATAGGATTTATGAGTTTTTTTTCTTTTTGTTTCTTGGGCTATTGTGGGCCGAAACAGTCATTATTTCATGGTTATGCTTCTGGAGATTAGCTAGGCTAATACTGAGTTAGGCTGGTCCTTGGACAGCAGTTGCAAACTGTTACCTAGTGTATACTCAAAACCTTTTCACTTGAGCAGAACCTATCAGAACCTATCCATCATTGATAGTCTTTTAAGATTCAAGGATACCACTATTATCAAGTCCTCAAGGTAGAATGTTAAGTGAACCAATGAGTTTATCTGGAGTAACCAAATCACAGCTTTATTGATATTCTTTGTATAAAGAAAACCAGAAGACATGAAAATGTTTCAATTAAAATAAAAGGATAAGTTGCAGGTTGCCATGAGAGAGGTGAATGGAAGTGTTGGAAGAGGTTTCATGATAAGCCTGTAGGAAACAGTATTTTATGGAATATTTGGGTATCTTGGTTTTAAATACACAAATGTCATGAAGACAAACAGCACCAATATCTGTTGCAGAGGATAAGAAAGTACAGATATTCCTCAGAGAACTTGGCAAAATATTCAGGAATGTCAGCATAATTTGATACTTAGTAACTTCACTTAGAAAGTGGGCACAGGGGAGGATGGCAAAAAACTATGTTGGAAAAATTGTTCAGGATTGAGAAATGAAAAAAGGCCAAAAGGCTTATCAACTAGTCAGCAATCTCATTTCTTTGGAAGGAGTCAGGAAACTCTGACTGGTGAAGCACCATTCTTTCTCTTTCTCTCTTATTCTCTCTTACTCTCTCTCTCTCTCTCTCTCTCTCTCTCTCTCTCTCTCTCTCTCTCTCTCTCCCTCTCTCTCCCTCCCTCCCTCCCTTCCTCCCCCCCCTCTCTCTCCCCCTCCCTCCCTCCCTCTCCCCCTCTATTACACACAGACTGGAAAAGAAAAACAAACCGGTATTAACTATGTCTTAATTAACAGAAAATGACTTCTTATCAACTAACTTAGAAGTCATTTCAGAAATTGCATTCTTTGTTTAGTGGGTCATATCATTGGTTAGAGCAAAAGTCAAACTCGATACCAAAATAGAAGGTGAGATAACATATTAATACCAAATTACAAGACAAGGTTGTGAGTATTATTCTCTTAAGCATTGCAGCAGCACTAACTCCATTATATTTAAGCAAATTGTTAACTCTGAAAAATAAGAAAAGCATAAAAGAAAAGACAGTAAGTCCATCTCTAATTTTTGGAGAATTTTAACTGTCCATAGGAGCCCCAGTGAGACTGAAAAGGGCCTGGAAATCAAACTATCTCAGCTAGCAAATATTCAAAATCTTTGCCAAGAAGAAAGGCATGGAAACCAAAGGCAACACTAGTTTAGAATATAACCCCATTTAAAAACCATCATGAAGTTGAAAGATAATTACAAGCAGTATTACCTTACAAAATAGTGAAAAGTAGTTGAGGGAAAAAGCCTGCAGAGAGCCTCACATGCACCCTAACTGGACTAAATCATACCGAGAGTGATTTATAGTTGAAACTGGAAGGAGGGCAACAAATAAATCTGAATTGGAACAGCTCTACTGACGTTTCTGTGGCAAGATGTCTCATCAACTCTAAGAGGGGAATCATTGAATTTTGACTACTGTCACCTTAGGTGTACCCATTATAC